CCCAGTCCCCAGCTTTCTGCGCCATTCCTCAGGCCGGATCGGCCTGTGGGGGTCCTGAGGTCCGAGCCGGGCGAGAAAAGCGCTTGATGTGGCGAAATCGCCACGCCAGGATCTCCGGCGAGGACCACGGCGAGAACGACGGTGACGACGATGACGACGACGACAACGACGACGATGACGACGACCGCGCCGCGACGACAGAGACGACGACGGCGACGCCGACGACGGCGACGACGACGGTTACGGCGCCGACGACGACGACGACGACGGCGACGACGACGACGACGACCTCGATGACGACGACAACGACGACGACGACGACGACGACGACGACGACGGCAATGACGACGACGCGGACAGCGACGACGACGACGACGACGACGACGACGACCGCGACGACGACGACGACGACGGCGCCGACGACGACGACAGCGACGCCGACGATGACGGCGCCGACGACGATGACGACGACGACGACGACGACGACGACGACGACCGTGACGACGACGACGACCGCGGCGACGACGACGACGATGGTCGCGACGACGACGACGGCGACGACTACACCGACAACCGCGACGACGACGACCGCGACGACGACGACGACTTCGACGACGACAACGACGGCGGCGGCGACGACGACGAAGACCTCGACGACAACGACAACCACGACTTCGACGACAGCGACGACGACGACGAAGACGACGACGACGACGTCGACGACGACGACGACGACGACGACGACGGTGACGACGACGACGACGACCGTGGCGACGACGACGACTTCGACGACGACGACGGTGACGATGATGACGACGACGACGAAGGCGACGACGACGACAGCGACGACGACGACGACGATCGCAACGACGACGACGACTGCGACGACGACGAAGACGATGACGTCGACCGCGACAGCGACGGCGACGACGACGACGGCGACGACGACGACGACGACGGCTGCGGCGACGACGACGACGACGATGACGACGGCGACGACGACGACAGCGCCGACGGCGACGACGGCGACCACGACCACGACCGCGACTACGACGACGACGACTGCGACGACGACGACCGCGACGCGACGGCGACGATCGCGACGACGACGACGACGACGACGCGACGACGATGACGACGACGATGACGACGACGACGACGACGACGACCGCGACGACGACGCCGACGACGACCGCGACGACGTCGACGACAACGACGACGACGACGGCGACGACGACGACGACGACGACCGCGGCGACGACGACGACGACGTCGACGACGACGACTTTGACAACCGCGACGACGACCGCGACGACGACGACGACGCGACGACTGCGGCGACGACGACGACGGTGCCGTCGGAGACGAAGCCAAGGACGACGACGACGACGACGACTTCCACGGCGAGGAGGACGACGACGACCGCTACGACGACGCCGACTGCGACGACGACGACGGACGCGACGACGACCGCGAAGATGACGACGACGACGGCGACGAGGACGACGACGACCGCGACGATGACGACGACTGCGCCGACGACGACGACGACTACCGCAGGTGCCGACGACGACGACGTCGACGACGGCTGCGACGACGGCGACGACGACCGCGACGACGACGACGACCGCAACGACGACGACTTCGACGACGACGACGACGACGGCGACGACGTCAACGACGCCGACGACCGCGACGACGACGACGATAGCGACGACAACGTTGCTGACGAGACCACGACGACCACGACCACGACCGCGACGACGATGGCGACGCCGAAGACGGCGATGGCGACGACGACGACGACGACTGCGACGACGACGACGACGACGACGATCCCGACGACGAAGACGACGACGGCGAAGATGAGGACGTCCGCGACGTCGACTGCGACGACGACGACGACCGCGACGACGACGACGACGACGACCGCGACGACGGCCACGGCGAAGTCGACGACGACGACGGCGATGACGACGACGACGACGACGACCGCGGCGACGACGACGACGACGACGACGACTGCGACGACGACGACGACCGCGACGACGACCGCGACGACGCCGGCGAAGACGGCCTGGGCGACGACGGCGACGACGACGACGACGGCGACCCTGGCGACGACAGCGACAGTGCCGCCGACGATAAAGGCGAGGACGACGATGACTGCGACGGCCACGGCAAGGACGACGGCGACGACGACCACCGCCACGGCCACGGCGAGGACGACGACGACGACGACCGCGACGACGACCACGACGACGACGACGGCGACGACGAAAGCGACGACGACGACGTCGACGGCGACGACGACGGCGACGACGGCGAGAGGACGACCGCGACGACGACGACGACGGCGACGACGACGGCGCCGACGACGACGACGACGACGGCGACGGCGACGACGACGGCGATCGCGGCGTTGACGATGGCGCCGACGACGATGACGACGACGGTCTCGACGACGATGTCGACGAGGACGACAACGATGATGGCCACGACGACGACGACGAACGTGACGACGCTGAACGCGACGACGACAACGACGATCGCGGCGGCGACGTCGCCGACGACGACGATGGCGACGGCGACGACGACGACGACCACGACGATGGCGCCAAGACGATGACGACGACGGCGAAGACGACGACGACGACGACCACGACGACGACCGCGACGACGACGGCGACGCCCGCGACGACGACGACGACGACGACCGCCACGACGACGACGACGGCGACGACGA